CTGAAATGAAACACGAGATTGGTTAATTGATTGCAACTGCTTGTAAGAGCATCTGTTTCATAGAACGAACCCGTCCTCTAATTCAGTTTGCGAGAAGGAAATGTGTGCACCACCGTACGTGTATGTTACGCTATTCGAACTTCATTTTCGGTTCGATATGCAACGGGTGTGGCGATTCAATAGGAGACGATCTTCAAAGGGATCGTCGTGTTAAATTCAAACAAGAATTTTATTAAAAATAACAGCTTTATAATCACAGATTCGTTATAAGAATTACTAGATGTCGATTTCTTCTCTGTTTACAATATCGTTTTATCATGTGACGCTTCTTAATAATGTTTCTTCTTCTTTTTTCTCTTTTTATTTATTAGGTGTAGAAATGAATTCTTCCCGACTGAATTCACATCAACGATCAAAAGCTACCGAGTTTCTGTCGCGACGTTATTCACAAGCTGCCAGAAAAATTGCAAAAGTTCATCAACAATAATGAAAATTATTCCGATCATACACATTTCCATTCTTTTTAAATAAAACTTCGATTGTACCATTTCTACACCTGATACTTGCTACTGTATTCTTTTCTATTTCCTACTGACCTCGGCCCGTACAACAATACCCAATAATAATTATGTTAATTATCGTAGAGTGAAAACGTAACCGATGAAATTCGAGATTTCGAGAAAACATTAATCGAGATCGGCTGATTAGAACGAAGTGACGTTGCAATATCATCACGTGATCACCAGCTGCACAATTCTTTCGGGATATCTGCCAAATTCGACTGCTGTGAAATCCCCTAGACTACGTCTATACAACACACTCCGGACTCTTGTTTGCTTCGTGTACACGGAGAATCGAAACCAACGAAGTGCTGTAAAAATAGGGTAAAAGAACGGTGAAAATTGTAAAGATAAACTGCTACAATTCTATCCGATAATTTCTATCTTGTTTTCCGGCGACGCGAAAAATACCGATGTACAAAGGGAAACCAACAATTTCGCACAGAAACGATCGTTCGATCGAAGATTAAATCACGCACCGGGGAAGATTTATAAATATTAAAAACGTTCGCGTGCTATTTTCTTCGCAACAAGTAATAATTAACAAGGCGATATGCACGTTTCGTAAATAGTCGCAAATTACCAAATGACAGTTCGTATAGTATATCTCTGATAATTCTTCCCTGAGCGATATTTAACGACAGATTAATACGTTATCAGCAAACGTATTAATTAAAGTAACGTCGTCGCCGCCCGATTAAATATGCTGATGCATAAAGCCGGATCTGATTGCAGAGGAAATACGCAGTCGGTCGATAACGTCGTTAAACCGATATTTAACGGGGAAAAGAGGAGGGGGAGGTTGCAGGATTTAAATTCGTTTGAATCACACAGAGAAATCCATGAAACTGATTTCCGATGACTCGTTATCGGGACGGGTTAAGCGCGATGTAATAATCGTTGGAATTTTACAGGCACCGGCTCTTGTGTGAATTTCAAACCTGCAGCTGCATTTCGAGGCGATATTTTGTAACTTTACAGCGGCATAAGTATCGTGCTTTACGAGATTCGTAAAGCACAAAAGTGTAACGTCGAATGAAACGTCTGATTCTTAGTGAAATGTTCCTTAACTTGACTCTTCATTGACGAACAGTCCCTTCAGGACACCATTCGTGTTTTTAGTATTCAGAACGTTTGGGAAAATAGGTAATAGCAGTGATATGCACAATTTTTGTTAATCTTCTGAATCTAATTTGAAGGTATTTGAAATTTGCAATAATGATTATGGGAGTTGTTTTTAGGAATAGCTTTGGTAAATTCTGGCTGTGTAGATAATTCACCGAACGTCTAAGTTTCTGTCAATTAAGTACAATATCTAACTTACGAATATTACACAAGTTGAATAAAAAGGAAATGTTCAAAAAAAATTTTTGATGGCTAGTAGTCAGTAGATATAAAGATATCTTTAAAAATACAAAGAACCTTCGTGCCTCTAAATGGCTTTTAATTCAAGATTATTTGTCCACTTTGTATATAAATTTATACTAATACAGTAAATACAAGGAAATTAAACGATCTTCTTAGAATTTCAAAACGCGTCCAGAAAGATCGTTGAATTTTCATACGAAGGGAAATTTTTATGCAATCTACCTAGCTACGAAAAAAGCACAGAGAACATTGAAAAATTTTAGTTTTCTGCACAACTACCTTCGACACTTACACACTTATTCCCACGTGTCTCAAACTGCTGTATTCTCTCACAGAAAAATTCTTTCGGCAGCTCTTCAAAATATTCGTCCACAGCAATTTCCAATTCATCATCCGAAGCAAACTGTTCGGGTCGCGTAATGTTCCAAAATTGCCGAACCGGTACGAGAGTTTAATCACACCTTGATTTATTCAGTGTGAAATGCTAAGAACTAGTTTTATTTGCAACAGAGTGATACTTGAGGTGATGTCGCCACGAGACTATCAAAATACTAATTTTCGTAAGACCAACTGCCAAGACTTCCAAAAAAGGACGCGCTTCTGCCTCGTTTCCTTAGTTTCATCCGCTCGGCCAGTTGTTGATTGGTGGCCGATTTCTTCTGGGGGTTGTAGGTGCTGACTCCTCATCGGAGGAGGTTGTTTAGGTGGGACGCAGCTCTTTCCAAGGGAAGGGGATTGTTGCTTAACATTAGAAAACCCCCATTTTTGGGTTTTTCCCAGGGGTTGCCGCGTGACTTTCCACCGCGCATGTGACCTCTCCACGGAGGGTACGGTACGCGCGAGAGGACCGGTACCTCGGTCTGGCGGCCAAGTGTAATTGAACAAGTTTATGACGATAATCCGCCAGACCGAGGGTTCGTCGCGATTTCTTGCGAGGCAACACAAACCGTTCAAGATTCTTTTCCAGACGTTTCGAGAAAATCTAAAATTCACGTGAATCTACATTCTCGAATTAGATTTGCAAAGGTAAATCTGTTGGTGAATCAAGTTTTGCACAGACACACAAAAACGTCACAAAAGCTCGACAGTGCAGCGATTATTTCTTAACGTAACGTAGGTTCCATCAAAATTTCCTCTCGTATTGCGTTCAGAGATGGAGGAAATATGGCCGAAACGAGGAACAAACGCGCCACGGCCTTTCTGTTAATGTTTGCGATGGTTCAGCCCGGGTCCGAGCAACGGGGAGAGAAACTCTTGCAAGTTGGTACGTGGACGAAATCAGAAATTCGTTTCGACCGGGACACGGTCGAATGCCTCGAGCTTTTCACTCGGCCCTGTAACAAAGTTTCTACCTGTGCCCTGTTAAATCTGCGAGCCATTAAAGTTGCGCCGACCGGGGCTAGGTAAGTCCGGACGACTCGCTGGAGGATTCAAATGGCTTAAACTTATCGCGGGTTAATACAGTATTGACGGGGCAGAATTCCTGCCTCGTGAACTTGCCATCGACGCGGAACGCCGAAGAAGAGGGAAAAGGGAGGAGGAGGAGGAACGTCCACCCTTTGGCTCCGGCTGGCTTGCCGTTCTCCTTCGAAATTTCTGCCCGCGGAGTTTCCACCGATTCGTCGAATGCAAACTAACTACGCGGAGCAAATCTTGCAAAGCTTTTTTCCCCTCTGGTTTTCAACGGGTAATTGCAGTCCGGATTGTGGCAAATGACGGTTGCTTCAGATCACAGGGCAAGCAGAAATCGATGGAAAATGGAGGGAGATGTAAATTTTGGTTGGATACTCGATGCTTTTTAGTCACGATATATGCGACAAGTATTTGTCTCATTTCAACGCAAGAAAATTATTTACCTCTGATTAAAGAATATTGTGAAATAGTGAGACTAATTTTACTCAAATTTAGTCTGATACTTTTGGTTCGAGTCTAAATATAATCTATGAACTAAATTAGCTTAGAATTTTTAACGTTCGTGTCGCTAATTTTGGAGATTTTAAGCTTACGTTTAAATATAGTCTTTTAAAAATTATAAATTAGTTTGGAATGTGTCTTTCGAGAAGATTTTGAAAAGAGTATGAATAGAAGTAGCAATAATCAGAATATTCTCTCTATGAACAATTCTTCTACGGGGGAGTGATTCTCGCGAAAGTGCAAGATCGATCATTTTGCGACGTTACGCGCAGTTTCATCGTTCCTCTAAATGAATTGGAAAAAGAAAAAAATAGCGAGATGCGAACATTGCGACTCTTAAAGTTCCAACGAGCTATAAACCATTCCCGTTACTTCCACAGTCATCTTCTCTTCGCATCAGCGAGCACAGGTGACAAAATATACGATCTTATTGCTTTTCTCTTTTACCGTCTGTTTCAAAATTTCACGCGATTCCAAGTTGTTTTATTGCTCCATTGTAAAAGTAACAGCGTGGCGCCTGAATGGTATCGGAATGAAATGCAAATGAAAAGGAGAAGGATTAAATAAGCACTAAAGCATGACGTAAAATTTAGCTTGCTGTTATAACTGTCAAATGACGTTTACTTCAATTCTTCTCGTGTACATTAAAAAAAAGAATCAATAGAATTCAGAAATTGTTACTACTGTGACTATCAGATCACATTTACCTGAATTTTCCTGTGTATTCTAAAAAAGAATTTATTAGAATTAAGAAATTTTATTTACAATTGCAACTATCAAATCACATTTTCTTTCATTTTTCTCCTGTACGCTGAAAGAAATAATTCACCGCAATTAAGAAATCTTACTATAAGTGCTAATATTACAACGCACAATGGTAAACGTCCCTCCCTTCATCCATAGCCTGAAACACAACCGCTTATTTTAAGCACACCGAACAAACCTCATCACGGCCGACAAACAATTAACTCAATTCCGCCGCGAACTCGTCTCAATTCCATCGAGGCTTCCGCCACATCCGGCAGGATGCGAACTCGCCCCTGTCATTCACCGTGTTCCTCCATTCATCGTTGCCTACGTTCGCGCGAACAAACGCCCGGCGCCGCATTCCCTACTTCTTCTGATCATTTTATGCACCGTGGGCTGTATGCAACGCGA